CCACCGCCCCCCGAAGATGGAAAGGACCACAAATCCGAGGCCCGCGTGGGCGCAGCGGGAGCCACTTGGATGCGCCAGGGTAGCAGCTGAATGCTGCGTATGGGAAAGGTCCCCAGGGCCACCAAGCCCGGGACTGACTCCCCATGGCCCGCCCGGCTGGGATTCCCCGGACACCTGGCACGCCCCATTCCGCATCCTCCTGCTGGACCAGAACTGTCCAGGGCGCGCGTGAGGGTCCGCGGGGGGCAGCCTCCCCGCCCAGCACCGCAGGGCGTCCCGGGCTCCTGTCTCTCCGGCTTCCACTGTGGCAGGGAGAGGGGTCCTCAGCCTACAGCCCACCCCACCACGCCCGGACCAGGCTGTCCTGGCAGCTGTGCCCTGTAAGATGGCCCCAGACGAAAATGTCCCCCCCGAAAGGTGCTTCTAGGAGTTTAGATGGTTTCCCTGACATCTCCCGTTCTTGGCTGCTGCCGGCCTGGGAGCAGGTGTGCTGCTTGTCACCGACTGCAGGGATGTGGGGCTCTGCCCACCTGGCCCTGGTCCTGGCAGCAGGACCCCTCCCACCCCACTTATCCTACACGCACACACACACGCATATACTCTCTCCTCAATGCTTTCCTTGGTCCCTGCTGCCCCAGGACATTTGCACAAACTTTCCCCTCCAGCTAGAATGCTCTTCCCTCCCCTCTTCTTGCTCTCTCTCCTACCCACCCTTTAGAGCTCATCGCAAATGTCACTTCCTCAGGAAAGCCCTCCGGGATTGCACCGCAGTCTAGGCACCCTATGGCATCCCGCGCCTCTCTTTCCCCACTCTTGCCGCCGCCGCGGTTTTAAATTCGTTTCAACTTTTTGATGAATGTCAGTCTGTCCCACTAGACCACGGCTCCATGAAGGGGGGTGTCTGTCTGGTTCCCTGCGGCCTCCCACGTGACCAGCCCAGTGCCTGGCGGGTGACAGGTGTTTCATGTCAATGAAAGAGCGGGCACAGCAAGCAACCTCAGGACAGAGCAGTGGCACGGGGACAGTCCCAGTGTACACATACACACACACACACATGTTCACCCACACGCACATACATGTGCTCACATACATGCATGCACATATACATGCACACACATGTTCACACCATGGGAGGACGAGGGCCTCAGCCTCGGCTGCCGCCCAGTGCCAGGGTCCTGCTCCCAGACGGTGGACGGCTTTTGCACCTGGAGGCTGGCCCAGGGCAATCCTGTCATCATGTCTTCAGACTAGATGAAGCCTGACTCTCCTGCCTGCCCGACGAAGACACTGAGGGTCAGAGTGGTGAGGGCCCGACCTAGCAGCTGAGACTGGAGCACAGGTCTCGGCATCGAACCCTGCCCTGGACTCCCAACCAACAGATGCGTCCTCCATGGCGCCTAGCTGGGCGCTGCGGGTCACCAGGGCCCCACGGCGGTGAGAAATGGGAAAACGGTGCCCCAGGAGTCAGCGTCTAGACCTGTGTCCCAGACACCACGACCACCGGGCCCCGGCTGTAGCTGAGCAAGCAGCTTCGAAGTAGAGGAGCCGGGCCAGGGCAGGGACAAGCAGACAACTGCGGGAACAGAATGCCGAGCCCCGTCGGACCTGGAAGTTAGGGCCAGGGCTCAGAGAGGCCCGAGGGACAGCAAGCAAGCTCTAGCCTCAGGTCCCTGCCTCAACAGTCTGCCCCCCCCCCGGGGCCTCGGTTTACCCACGTGGGTGGTACCCAAGTACTCGCCTTGCAAGACTCATTTCAGAGGCCACGGCAGTGACATAAAGCCAGAGCAGCCCTCTGGTCCCGGTGACACCCTGGGACAGCCAGGGGGGTAGAGCCAGGCTAGCTGTCCTCGCTCACAGACCCCCTCCTGCTGCTGCAGGTGGGTACGGTACAGCCTTCGCGGGCGGCGAGCTCTGCCGCTTCCCGGCCAGGCAACCTGGCCAAGGTGCCGAGATCCCAGGGCCTCAGTTTCCCCTCCCGGAGACGGGGAGAATAATAAAGCCAGTCCCCAGGACTGAGAAGGCTGGAAACAGGAAACAGTAGCGTGTTCAGAGCAGTGCTTGGCACGTGGCGGCCGTTCCAGAATCGTGCGCTTGCGTTACCTGCTGCTGAGCTGCAGGACGCACGGGAGCCCAGGTGACTCCGGGAGCAGCTGGCCCACGCAGCACGGCTGGGCGAAGGCGCCCCTGTCCCCAAGACGCTAATCCGCCATCCTCCAGAAAGCCATCATCAGACCCAGTGGGCGCTCGGGGACCCCAATGGGAACGGTGCCTCTAGACTTTTGTGAGTGCGCAACCTGCGCAACTGTACCTGGGCCTCTGCCTACTCGGGGCAGCGCGTCAGAGAGCAGGCTGGCGCTGGACCACTGGGTTTGAATCCCGTCCCCGACACCTCCTAGATCCGTGGCCGCAGGCCTGGGACTCCCCTCCTCGGGGCCTCCCGTGTCCACCGTGACCACAACGGTACCCGACACACGGGACGGCCGGCGGCTATTACCGTCGGTAAGCGGGATGGCAGGAGGAGACTCTTTCTGGACGGAATGGCTCGGCCATTCCGGAACAGGACGTCCCGCCGCAAGGAACAAAGGAGGCCCTGTGTCCGAGAGGGAGGCAGGGAGACTTCTAGGAAGGCAGCGGACGCTTCCCAGAGGGTCAGACCGGAACGGGGAGAGCCCGGTTGCAGCCCCATCGAGGGTGCCGAGATCGCGTCACCAGAGGGGAAGGGACGGGGTGGGGGTGCTGAGTTGGGGACCGACGGCACGAGGAGGGGGGGTTGAATCCCCAGGCAGGGGCAGGCCCCTTGCAGGGCAGGGAGGGCACCAGGCTGTTCTCTGCACGCACAGGACACAGCACCGGGGTCAGAGGCTGCCCGGAGACAGGGGCATCCCACGTGCCACCATGGCCACCATGACGTGGGGAGCAGGGGGAGGTCCTGAGTTTGGGGGGGGTGGCGCTGGAGGAGGGTCAGAGCAGGGCTGAGGCGCCCCCCCGAGGGTGCACCCCAGATCCACACTCACGACCTATGTCCCTGCGGGCGTCATCCTGGGATGTGATCCTTCTGTGCCTCAGTTTCCCCCTCTGTAAAATGCCAATCGGTGCCTACGCTTTGCAGAGCTCAGCGAACGAACGCGTGCAGAGTGTGCAGAGCGAAGCCAGGACGTTAGCTGTCGCTACAGCCGCCAGGGGCGGGCGCGGCGTTTCGGACAGAGGGCACGGAAAGGGCCGATGCCCCGGGCAGGAGCCCGTGCCGCAGGCCCCACTCAGCAAGGGGAAGAGGCGGGAAAGCAGATTCTGTGGCCAGAATGAGAACTGGATAGGAATTGAGGGTACCGAGGTACACTTAACGGCTGGGGTAGCCTCGAGAGGTGATGAGTTCCCCGTGGCAGAAAGAATGCAAGACTAGTGCCCAGCAGACAGCAAGTGGTCAGTAAAAATGAAGTCTCATCATCATCGTTGTCATGACGTCCCCAGTCCTGTCCAGACCGAGCGGCCCCAGGGCCGGGTCCGCCCTCCCTCCCAGTCGCTGCGAGGGCTCCGTCCACCCTCTGTCTCTCACTAGAAGACTGTCCCCACCTTAAGGGACACAAGCATCTTGGGTGCATCACCGGAGGTCCAGGATTCCGGAACTTTCCGGAACCTTCCGGAAGGCTGGCTGGAGACACCCCATGCTCAGAGACATAGCCCTCCAAAGAGGCAGGCACCCCCAGCTCCCAGCCAGACAGCGCCTCGGCCGTGTTACCCCACAAAGCCAGACCCCCTCCTTGGGAGAAGCTGGAGGAACCCTTCCGAAGCCCAGGGCGTGGCGGACGCCAGGGACAGTTCCCACGGTGACCTCGTCACGCCAGGCACACGCCACACCTTCTCCTGCCAAGTGGGTCCTGAGCAAGACCAGGGCCAGGGCTCGGACGGTGAATCCTCTCCACAAACCCCCATTCTCACTTGTATGCCTCCTGCCACGGGGAGCTCACTACCTCCTATGGCCACCACGTGGAGGGCTAAGATGCGCCTCCCTAAGATACACCTGGGCTGAGCCCGGAAGAAGGCAGGGCGTCTCCTTCTGGGGGGGCTGGAGAGGGGGTGGCCTTGATCTAGGACCACACCCTGCCGTCCAACCTGGCCTCACCCCAACCGGAGGGGCCGGTGGTCCGCGCCGACCAGGGGATGGTGCCCGGAAGGGTGGGCCCCGTCGAGAGGGTGAGGCCTGGCGCTCTGGAGGCAGCTGCAAGCGCCGGGCAGCCTGTCCTCGGCCCCTGCTCACCCCGGCTGGGAGGGCAGCCCACGCAGACTCCCTGCCTGTGTGGACGCCACGCAGAACACCTCCGAGGAGGGCGACAGTACGACCGCCGGGAAGGCAGAGGCCGCCGAGCACCCCTGCGGCCCTGGGGCCCCCTCTGCAGAGGAGGAAACTGAGGCTCCACAGGGCAGCATCGCGAGCTGGTGGCTGATCCAGGGGTGGGGACCGAGACCACCGCCCGCCTCCCTTCTCCACGTGACGTGGCTGGATGCTCTTTCCCTGTTTGGTTAAGGGCACCTCCCTGGCCTCCCTCTTGGCCGCCCTCACACGCCGTCTGTCCGTCCCGCGCCCGCTCGGCCCACTAGGGCCCGGGGCTCATGGGGACGGGGACCCCAGGACCGAAACTTCACCAGGCTGCAGCCTGGACTCTCACAGAAGGCTCCGGGCCGTCTGAAGGGAGCAGGGGGCAGGACCTCGAGAGATGTCCTCGCTCGGGAAGGGCCTCCATCCCCCAAGACACTGTCTGGGGAAAGTCCCTGCTCTGGCTGGCTCAGCGCACCGTGGAAAGGCAACGGCGTCACCCTCACGTTCTGCGCACGGCGCCCCGTCTACCAGGACCTCTGTCCCGGGGCCGTGTCTCAAAGACTCTCAAAACTAGGCTGCACGAAAAGAAAGCTCCAAACGGGCCGGGCGCGGTGGCTCACGCCTGTGATCCCAGCACTCTGGGAGGCCGAGGCGGGAGGATCGCTTGAGGTCAGAAGTTCAAGACCAGCCTGGACAACATAGTGAGACCCCATCTCTACTAAAAATAGAAAGAAATGATCTGGACAACTAAAAATATATAGAAAAAATTAGCCGAGCATGAAGGCGCATGCCTGTA